TTATTTGATATTTAATCTGCAATTTAATGTGCAAGAAATGTAACTCAATCGATAAGTTAATAGGTAGTTTTGCGATAAAATAATGAGCGATTTTTAAAAAAATATATGGATTAAAAAGTTCATGTGTATATTTTTAATAGAAAAATTATGAATACATCTAATTAATAACAAAAACTCCTACATAAAAAATATAATTTATAAAGGAATAAAAAAATGTTACATTGCAATGAAAAATTCAACGGTAAGAGATCCACTGAAAATCCCAAATGATATTTTATTCGTATAGCTGTTATTGTAAAAATTCATTGACTATTCCAACAGAGATCAAATTACATAATATTGAAATTTCAGTGGATTTAATTAATCCAATTATCATTATTTATTATTGTGTGAGTTTCCGTTTGAATTTTTTTGGGGTCATATTTCAACAGTTGGAAAAAGACTGGAATTCTAAGAATTTCAATGGAAGTTCTATTCAAAATCTACCTGCAGTGGTGGATACAAATTAATTTCATACTTGAGTCATTATTTAGTTAATAGAAAATGTATACCATTAAAATAACATAATGTCATTATAATTTATAAATTATATTTTTCATAATTTGTCATCTTTCTCAATACAGTTACAATTAAAAAAACATAACTTTTCTCAATTCAACATAAACAAATAATTGAAAATAATTATGTTTTTTAAAATTGTATGAACAAAAGTTGACACGACAATATTATTGATGAATTTATGAATTATAAATATTTAATTGTAGTATAAATTAAAAAAAAATTGTAATTAAATATAATATAATATAAGATATACAAATACTTGATATATAATGAGACAGATGATCAAAAAAATCCTAGACTTTATATTATGCATTTTTTGACAAATCTACAGTTAAGAACATGTAAAAGAACAAGATAAAAGTTTTAAAAATATTAATTATGATAAATAATATTAAAAATAAATAAGTTGTGACACGTACAAATAAATATGGAACAAAGTAATAAATAAAAATGTTATAATTGATAGAAGAAATATAAACTTTTTATAAATATACTTATCGACGTAAACGAGCAAAGTTGTTAAACGCTTGTTAGTTTTTTGTCCTTATAATTTTATGTGTAAATTTGATGTGATGGACAGTAGTTATTTGTACATTTATCCATGTAAGTTACCAAAAAAAAAAAAATCTTTGTTATTCTAATTTGAAATAACTTTTTATTTGCTATATTAGTTTTTTTAATATAATATATAAATATCATATTGAACATATAAAATAAGAAATATTATAATTTTTAAATATTTAATATGTATAAAATGTAACTCAATTGATAAATTAATAGGTAATCTTGAGATAAAATAATGAGTGATTTCCAAAAAAAAAATATAGGAACTAAAAAGTTCATGTGTTTAATATATTTTAATAGAAAAATTGTAAACACAATTAATAAATAAATACTACATAAAAAATTAATGTTTAAGAGGACTACAACAAATTGCTATATTGCAATGAAAAATTCAATAGTAAGGTATTCTACAGAAAATTTCAACGAATATTTCATAAATATTGCTTTTATTGGAAGATTTCATTGGCTATTCCAACCGAGTTCAAATTAAATTACATGAACTTTAGTGGATTTAAAGATTTCAATTACTTGAATTGCCATTGGAACTTTTTTTTGGACCATATTTCAATCATTGGAAAAACTGTCATTGGAATTGTGCAAAAATTCAATGGAAATTCCATTGGAAAGCTAATTGCAGTGATAGATCCAAAATAATTTCATATTGGAGGCATTATTTAGTTAATAGAAAAAATATACCATCAAAATAACATGTCATTGTAATTTATAAATTATACTTTACATAATCTATAACCGTTCTCATTTGTAATACATTTTAGTAAATCAATACAGTCACAATAAGATAAAATATATTTAAGAAACCAAAAGACATGATTTTTCTCAATTCAACTTAAGAAGATCGTTATATACTTGTTGTAATTTTTGTTGGAATTTTCTCATTTTCTTGTAGTAAAAGTAAGACTCCAAATCTATAAAAAAAATATAAAAAAAAATTGCATTATATATAATATTGTGTGCAACTATTATTATGAAAAATTTGATATGATATAAAATATAACACATTCAATGTAATTGTCGTTTAATTTATGATAATAAGTAATTTTTGTTTCAAAACAAACAAGATACTTTAAAATTGGGTATGTTAATCTTAAAATTTTTTAGTAAAAAATTTAATTATTTTCTATCATTAAATTTTTTAATTTTGAAATGCTTCATATTTTTTATTTGTTACTCTTTTTGTATGTAATATCACATCATTTTTTTTCAATAATGTTTGAGTTGACCAATATATTGCAAATAAAATAAAAATAATATAATTATTTATATCGATATATATACACACACACACACAGACGCACACACATATGAGTACTAATTTAAAAATAATAAATTAACCTAAAATTATAGTATATACTAATTTTTTTATTCAAGTTAAATCAATTTTATTAAGTATAAAATAACATAAGATAAACTTGTGGTATATTTTTCTTACACAGATTTGAAACAATTCATATTAAAAATAAAAAATAAAAAAATGGAGGTAAACTTACAACTATTCCCACGTTTTGTCTAGAGCGCCTATTCCCGATATATATTTGACACTGGTTTGCCGTAATGCTGAAACTATGACAAATGCACCTTAGGTACAAACGAAGCGAAGCGAAGTGAAGTCATAGATAAAAGAAGGAAAAAACAAGGCCAGAGAAGGGAAATGAGATATTATTAGTTATGTGAATTAAAAAGACAAATAAATGAGTTGTACGTTAAACTATTATTCAATTACTGCTTAAAAAAGAACCCTATAATGGTGGTACCATATATGTATTCAGTGATTATGAAAATGACTTAGTTACCTAATATTTTATCAAACATTAGAAAAAATTGTAAAGTTTTTAATCTAATAATTCGTATAAAAAGTACATTTATATCAAATATATTAAATTTACATTGTATCTTATGTGATTATGGTAGTTGTAGCCTAATAAAAAAGATAATTTGAAAACATCATTATATAAAACACATACAAAAAATAACGCAATACATATAAATGTGCTTTAATTATTTAGCAAATAAAATATTATTTTTTTATAGAATAAGAAACAAATTATATAATAGTAACACAATGAAAAAAAGAATACGTGTGAATTTTCTTAGAGAAGTATGAATACCAATATTTACAAACAAAAAGTCTTTGAAAATTACTACTTTTTTGTTGCTAGCGTTTAAATATATGGACTCTATAAGAAATTTGTTTTCATAAATAATGATCCTATATTATTTATTTTAATTTTAAATAATTAAAAAATTCAAAAATTTGTAATACATAATGTATATTTTAATCATGACTACATAATAATAAACTTTGCAGATGACTAAGAGTATCGTAATATTCTTCTCCTATCAAATATTTAAACAAGTGATATGCTTCTCAATATTTTCTCATTGTTTTGATTGTTTTGTTTTGTCATTGTTGGAGAATAAAGAAATGATCTTTATCTTGAATTTTATAATCATTTTGTATGATGAATAATGTTGGACAATAAAAGCATTAAATAAGTTATTAGGCACACAAATATTGCATATTCAAACGAATGTGAAAGATATTATGATAAACAATTCTAAAATCATTGCAACAACCATGATGGTCAATAATTTTCAAATAATAGATTATATTGTTCGTCTATATTCCAAATAAATAACAATGTCGGAGTATCAAAAGAGTTTTGAATGTTCGAATGAAGTTGTCACTTTTTATAGAAATATTTATAATCTCATTGGTGTATTGTACTCGAACATATGTGCAATTACTTTAGAGGTACGTTCAGGTAATGTATGATGATTTCAAAAAATAATTTAGCACATCGAGAGAAGTACATGTAACCAAAATTTTGGAAAGTTAACTTTTATTTGGAGATAAAATTCATTCCCACCTCGTGGGGCGATGCATCAATGGAGTAGACACCAATATGTCTAGAGACAGAGGAATGTAGTAGTTTATATAATGATAGAAAAATACCAGCAATTTTAATGAGACAATTAGTTATTTCATAGAGATATTTATGCATTGTTAGTAGAAGTGCCTTATTATAAAGATTATACGATCATAAAGTTTGACTATATGTTGGGTCAGAATGTTTCTTAAGTGTTTGAATAAAATTAGCGTTTTGCCAAATGAATTAAAAGGAATTTTGCAATAGTATTGATGTATTGGACTCTAGCGAGTATGAATGTTTCTATGAGAAAGATGAATATTAGTGTTTTTTGTATTAAGGATTTGTTTTTTATATATTTTAGTTGGGGGTTGTAAAACGTTAGTTCACTCTTTTTATATTAAGACATCATTACGTTAATTCTAAATAAAAAAATTCACATGTGAATTCATTTGTTCTATATTTATTTCATTCTTGGAATGATATGTTTAATAAATAAATTAATTTATTTTACAAACTTACTCTGCGAAAATCATTCGATACCACGTGCATCGCACGTGCACTTTACTAGTAAGTCTAATGGGTTACTCCTCCTTCGACCAATTGGTTTTGGGATGGAACCCTACTTGGGCTTCATATGGTGTTTTTCCTGTCATGGTGCGCTTCATGTTACTAGGCCCGCACGCGTTTTCCCCCAGTTTCTTACATAAATTAGATTCCCCTTGTCTCGTTATATAATATTTTCCCCCTTTTATCAATCATATCAAAACAAATCAAAAATATAATTCAATAGTTATTACATATTGTTCAACAAAATTTACTATTATTTTCATTATTTTTCCGTTTTTTCATTATTTTTATTATTTTTTGTTTTTCAAATTAATTTATATCAATCAGTTTGTCAAATGCTCCAACTTGCTAGGTGGACATATATATTTAAAATGTATAATGTCCTGAATGTCATTGGCGCCTGATTTCATTAATAAAATGCAGTTGAGAAGGTTTTTGATCTTCTTAAGGGACTCTGGAAAACGGTTCTTATGGTGTAAACAAAAATGTTCTGAAGCTTAAACTAAAAATTGCAGATCAAAATTTTTCTATGTTAAAGGTTACATTTCCACGTGTTCTGAAGCTTAAATTAGATTGCAGGATTTTGTTTCTTCAAGTTTAAAAACCAAACTTCCCCCGAGATTTAGCCTAATTAAAATCAGAAAAAGAATGAAAGAAAAATGTGAAAACGTGCTCGTCCATCAGAAATTTTAAGAAACCATTTACAAACACCTGTTGATATTTTATTCACTTACCAAGTTCTATTTTTATGAAAATTTTGCTTATACAAATATATTGTACCTTTGCCATATCATTCTTATGTTGCAAAAGGAAGCCTAGAAAAAAATTCAATGCCGATGAACTTCGATAAGCCGAATATGGTTAACAAAATCATGGTACCTTATGTTAAATGTTAAGCAAACTAGTATAATTTCTTGTACTTTAGATGTTGAAGTGTTTATGTTCGTTTCTGTTTGTGTGAATATGATTGATCTTCTATCATGAGTAAATGTTCATTACTTTCAGAAACCATCATTTCTCTTACTTTTTTCTGCACGTTTAGTGAAATATCATTTACTGTTCTACAATTGTGTATACTCTGAATCGTGAAAGATTATTTAAAAGTCGATTCTACGTCAAGTTGTGGACCAAACTTCAAAGTCACAAAGTTGTATACAAGTTGTAAGAAGATCTAAAAAAAGATCTAAAAAAGATACCGATCAAAAAGATACATATTAGATCTAAAAAAAGGTTCTCTAAACCTAAAAAATTCTCATTCCCCTACAAATTCATGAATGGTTCAAAAGTCTTATTCTTTTGGGTTGTTTTTTTGTTTCACAATCTCTTTATAAGATTGTACTTTGTGCTCCATCCATCACTTGTACTGGTAGTGGACCTTTTGGTTCAAAAGGGATGGTGTTCTTTTACTTGAGCATAGGACCTTTATAAAGATCAGAAACCTTATTTGTGGAATGGCCCATGCTAAGTCCATAACTACAATCACACCCCCACCAATATTGAATAATTTGTTTGCACAATTGTGATTTCCTTTCACATAGAATTAAAAATGTGGCCCATCCCATGTGGAATCAAGTTGCAAGCGTCAAATAATAATTTAAAAATAAAAGGGAATATACTGAAATCAAGATATTCTCTTTAGAAGCCATCATTTTCCAACCAAGAACCAGATACTTTTGTACTCTGGAGACCTTGAAATTTTCTGTTGATTTAATTCTGTTAGTAATTTTATTATTCGTCACTGGTTCTTGTGACAAAGTAGAGTTGTAAACAAGTCGGTATCAAAATTTAACGAGTGGAATTCAAGTTTGAACGAGCTTAGCTAAGATAACACAATTCAGAAAATACATAAATGAGCCTTAATGAGCTGAGTTAGTCGAAAATTAAGTCTAAGCTCACGAGCGGTTCTGTTTTGTCTCATAGCTTTAGTCACAATAAATTACTAAGACATGTACATCACTTGCAGCTCAAAGTCGAATTAATTCAGCAGTTAAAATCCAATAAGACAATTTTTTTTATTTTTTTTTTTTTACAATTTACACAACTTGCCTGTCATGAAAGTTTGGTCATATTAGAGTGTAACATTGCTAATGAATTATTGTAATTTGTGCAGTTCATTTAATTAATCACGGGGTGCTAATAGACACCACAAAGAACAATCTCCGGGCAAGACAATTTGTAATTAATTATCAAATAATATGACTTCTAATAAACAAACTCAAAATCTTGAAATATTTTGAGCCGCACCAATAATTTCAAAATTAACCAAGTTTTTTAATGACTATAAACTAAGTTGTAACAAAGATCTATATTCTTGTCACCCAAATATACCACAAGAATGAAACACATGAGCCAATCCTTGAGGGCTCTAATTGCTTTAATTGGGTTTCTACTATTTCAACTTAGAAATAGACTTAAAAACATTACATTGACAAATATTGGTACATTCTTGAATTTCACATAACAACAAATACATAACACCCCCTTTTATACCTTCTTGCCACAACCTACCCTTTTTTAGGTTTTGTCACCAACATCTAAATCAAACTCTCCCCACCCATTTTCTTTCCAATTCTTGAAAAAGATTCACTAATTCTTGACAAAAAAACACACATTTCACCAAAATGATCATCATCAATAACTAGTCTTGAAAGGCTTGTAAGTCTTAAGATCACCAACAACACCGGCTACCGACCCCACGCCAGCCGCAATCGATATAACCAAACACGCCATACTAAGAATTTGCAAACACAACCACCTCGAACTCCACTTAGGTATCTTCTTTTGCACGATGTACATCTCGACCGGGAAATAAACCGTCAACGGCCAAAACCCTAAAGCCCCCAATATCCCCACGACATCGTTGAAAAACGGCATAAGCATCGAGATCACGGTCGTGATCACCACGAAAATCGTCCTCCAAACGAGCCTAAACAAGCTAAGCTTCAAGGGCTTGTACCCTGGAATCGGGATCGAGACTTCTTTCGTGATGAATTTGTTGTCGGGAAAATAGTTGGATGCCGCTTTCTCGACGAAGGCAAAGAGGGGTTGGCAATAGACTTGGTAAGCTCCGATGAGGTGGATTACAATTGCGGCATTGGCAATGTCGAGAAGCCAATAAGGGTTATAAAAACCGAAGCCCGTGAGAAGGTTCCCCGGAGAAAGGTCCCCGAACGCCGCATAACCGAAGCAACCGCAAAGCATGTAAAAAATTGTGGTGACCGCCACGCTTATGAAGGTTGCCTTTTTCATCGTCTTGTGCTCAGCCGGTGGAGATTTGATTGTGTCCTGTAAAATTACGAAGTAATATAAATATTGATTGGTCGAAAAAAAATGTGTATTTTATATACTTATCAGCGTACTTGAATTTTGCTTAATTTTGTCGCACTTATATATTTTTCGACTGATTTATTTTTTGGATGGATTCTTGTACTTTGATAGTTTGATGTTTTATTTTTAGACTATTGGAGTATTTTCATGGGTTGCGTGGCACCAAACGAGAATTGAGTACGCCAGTACGGGGTGCGCCCCATATATCGATGTCGAATGAAATCAAAATCGATTTCAAACGTCAAATCCTACTTTAAGTTTAATTTTTACACTCAAGTAAACAACATTTACGACTCAAGTCCCGAAAATTCTTCATTCAAGCTCCCGTAAATTTTAGGGTCCCGTTCAAAATTGAAGTTTTCGGAAACACTATATATATAAGTAAGAGAGTAAGGAAAGAAATTAGTTTTGTACCTGAATTTCAATAAGGATAAGAGAGTAAGAATACGCAAAAGCTATGGCACCAAGAGCTTGAAAGCTTCTCCAAATCTTTTGCATTTCGGTGACTGAGCCGGAGGCGGTGGCCGTGCCGATGCTAATTCCGGTGAGGCTCCCCCTGAATTCACCGGTTTCTGAAAAATAATTTTTTCAATAATTCAGCAAAATTTCTTGTTAAAACACTTAAAGATGCGACATTTTTGTTAGTAAGGAAAATTAAAATGGGTTCAATTTTTTTTTTGTTTTTTACCAGCGACTTTTGCGATGCCAAGGCCTAAGCCGATTGTGGAATAAGTAAACGACATAATGGCAGCAACAATCGAAAGCCACCAAATCTGATCGAAATCTGGGATTTGTGAGAAAATTATTTCAATCACACCAAATGCAATCATGTAAGGATTGCTTGAAACTCTGCAGGGACTATTGTCTCCTCTTGAGTGGAAACAATTAGACCTCTCAATTGCCCTGTTACATAATTTATTTTTTTAACATCAGTTTACCAAAATTAAGCTTAACAATAATCAGTTCAATGATAGTAAAAGTAGTATAAGTTAGAGCACTACATTTAGATATCAAGATTGAAGAACAGGTCAAAATTGGTATGCAGAAAAAACTCTGACTCTGGGTCATACTATGTGAACTAAAACCAAACTATATAGTAAAACTATAAAATATAAATTGGGTTCAAAAGGGGATCAATAATTTTCAACATTAATTTGTAAAAGCATGACATTTCAACATAATCAGATCTATTTAGAATGAATCTTGTCATTTAGAATGATTTCATTTTCATATACTTTTAAGAATAGCATAAAATCTAAATCTATGGGCCTTTATTTATCTTCACCTTTTGCAATTACTCTGCCCCACTCGAGTGGAAAAAAAGGGACACAACACAAGTCACAACAAACAAAAAGAAAAAGGAAAATCCTTAAATATGGAAGAAAAAAGAAAAATCCTTAAATATGAAATTTATACTTACATCATGCTTATAGATGAAGCAATTGTGTATCCAATAGCAACACCAAAAAGATTCACGTACTGAATTGCCCCACAAACCTTCACCTGGAAACCACCTGAAATTTTCAAAAATTTCATT